ACATTGCGTTTAGTTTGGGCAATCGGCAAGTTGACCAAATTCCATAATTTCGAATCGCCATATCATGGAATCACGGAACAAACAAAACAGACAATGGACAAACCGGTTTGTTTGATTCTAAACAAACTCATAAGAAAAAAAATTGTTTATTTATCAGACTGAGATGGGTTTTATAGAAAATACATTTCTCAGTATCTGTGACAGTATCGCATGTTACTGGAGGTATGGGTTCCCTGTCATATGCCTTAATCCTTCGGCGTCTCATGGCTTAAAAGCAATCTCTATGTGTAATAGACTTGAATATTTATTTCAGACCAAACTGCATATATATGCATGATATATTTTCACGTTTTTGGTTTGTTTTTTGGATCTGAACACATAATTAACATTAGACCAAGCCAAACTAACATGAGCCAAATAAAGAGGGGTCAGCATACTTCCTACAAAACAAGCTACACATCTAAGAGAACTACATACAGGGCCGGACTGGGGATGCGAAGCAGCCCTGGAAAAAAATCTATGCCAGCCCCATAAGTCATTGTAGGGTGTTTATATATATATATATATATAGGCAATTGAAATAGTTGGCTGCACTCTCGGATTTCCTTAAAACTTAACTTTTATTGAAATATTTAAGAGAAGATCAACGTTTCAGTCCCTCTTGTGGACTTGCATCAGGATCAAAAAAGTGCTACCAAGTGCAGAGAATAAAGAAAAAGAAACGCTCAACGGCGTTTTGAACATGCTGAAACACGCGTCGAGCGTTTTCTTTTTCTTTAATCTCTGAACTTGGTAGTACTTTTAAAATTTTTGTTACCACTATGGTTATTGATTTTTAGGTGTTTATTTATTTTTAACTTTAGTAGAGAGAATTGGTTCAGGTAGACACTAGTGGTTAGACTACGGTGTCAAGGTAACTTTTAGGGTGAATTGAGAGATTTATTTAATTATTTATTTTGTGTGTGAGGCTTTTCATCTGCGTTTAGACCTGATTACCCAGTCCCTTGTTCTCTGGGGAGTCTGTGCCTTTTCTCTCTCCCTAACCTTGTTTACACTACCTTCCTGTCAGTCGGACACTAGGAGAACTGGAACTTAGATGCTAGCTAGTACTCCAGACAATTGATCCCCTGGGCACCGTTTAGTAGATCTCCCTTTTTTTCAAGTTATACTTTTTGTTTGCATATCCCTTTTAATCCTTAGATTGATTAAAGGTAGGGCCTCCCTTCCTCATTTCTTATATAGTGGAGCTCTCCTGATGTTGGTTTCCCCTTGTGAGACTCTACACATCAACTACTCCTATTAAGCTCACTCACTAGCAGGCACACACACACACACACACACAAACTCACTAGCAGGTGCACACACACAGAGGCTCCCTCACTAGCAGATGCGCACGCACACACACACACACACACACACAGAAGCTCGCACGCTCACTCACTAGCAGATACACATGCACAAAGACATTCACATACACAGAGGCAGACAGTCACTGACACCGAGACAAACATCCACACATACAGAGACAGGCAGACAGCCACACACACACACACACACACACACACACAGGCAGACAGTCACACACACACACAGGTAGACAGCCACACACTCACACACACACACACACACACACACAGGCAGACAGTCTCACACTCACAGGCAGACAGTCACACACATCACAGGCACACACACAGTCACACACACAGGCAGACAGTCACACACACAGGCAGTCACACACACACACACACACAGGCAGACAGTCACACACACAGGCAGACAGTCCTTCGCACACAGACAGTCACACACACACACACACACACACACACACACATAGTCACACACACAGGCAGACAGTCACACACAGACAGTCACACACATAGGCAGACAGTAACACACACATGCAGACAGTCACACACACACACACACAGTCACACACACAGGCAGACAGTCACACACACACACACACACACACAGTCACACACACAGGAAGACAGCCACACACACACACAGACAGTCACACACGACACACACACACAGTCACACACACACGGGCAGAAAGTCACACACACAGACAGTCACACACAGACACACTGACCTGCTTCTTACCCATCCCTTGGAGCCCCTGGAGACTCGTTGTTGGGGAAACAGGGACTCCTTCCTGCTTCCCATGCTGCAGTTACCAGGGCCCCCGCTGCACGCTAAGCTCCGCCCCTGCTGCAGACTAGGCTGCGCCCCCGCCACATGGTAGCTCGGCCCCACTACATTTTTTTTTTTTAATGATCCCGGCCGGCCATGTGTGAGCTGTGCCGGCCGCCTGGCTCCCCATGCTCCCATGGGGCCCCGTGTGGCCTCACAGCTCACACAAAGCCGGCCGGGATTACAGGAGCCTGATCACTGATAAGGGCTGTCAGCCCAGCCCCAGGTGCCGCGGCCCACCGGGAAATTTCCCGGTATCCCGGTGGGCCAGTCCGGCCCTGACTACATATAGGGCTATATGGTATAACATGCAAAATGGGGATTGACATATATCATGACTATACGATTCTTATAATGCTGCATAAAAGTAACACAGCATTTGCAGCTTCTAACCCTGATACATTAATCTTCGTAAATGGAGACTCAATTGTAGTTCTATTAATCTGTCTAGAAATTATGGTAAATATCTACCCCCAACTACACGGTTTCCATTAATTAATTAATTAAAAAGAAGATCATAAATCACTGGATAGTCTTAGTATTTACAATAGAAGCAATAGAACTGCAGGATAAGTTAATAATGTAAGGATAATAGATAACTAGTGCACTTTAGGATTGTGGATCCATACATGGTTCTTAAGACACACCAATAGTTCAGAATCTAGGAATGTCCTAGTACTGTTTCTATTGGGAGGCTGGCAAAGTATGGACCTCTGATGTGCCTCAAGAACTGGGTTGGGAAGCACTGTTCTACAGTACTCTAACACGATGATAGGTGTGTTGTGACCTTCACACCTGCTTAAGCTTGATTTCACTGCAGTGCATTTATTTAGTAAATGTAGTCGTACTTTATTAAAATATGCTTACATTGCTGAGTCATTGGCACAGTATGGATGAAAATCGATTACCTATACAGATTTTACGCTTGACTGAATATCTCTTGCATTGTCTATCTCGAGGCACCATATAAAGAACAAACCAAACTATTTTGAAATATGTAATAAATATTTAGCTTTAAAAGAAATGATTTTAATTTAACCCTTTCTGTGCGTGAAGTTTAAATGTATCCATTTTTGTGTAAAGGGAAAAGTGAATTCTTTATGATAACTTTATAATTTCTCTTTCTCATGAATTACTTGACAGTTTCAGCAAAATTATGGGAAGTTCTAGAGAGTAACACACGTTTAAGTCACATGACAAATATCCTGCAGAATTTAAAAGAACAGCTCAATGCAAAATATCGTATCTGAAGCACACCAGAAAGATCAATCCAAAGGTAACCGTTTGTATTAAAATTATTAAAATGGAGAAGCCATAAACGAAGATTATAAGCAATTAACATTCAACATTCCAAACACATTGCCAAACATTCTGACATTGTCCTGGCATTCCGCTATTAACATCACAGTTTAATATAAAAACATAATTGACAGGTTTAATAAAGCAAATAAAAGACTATGCACATCTCATAAGTCAAATTATTCACCAATGTGCTGTCTTTATCCATTTTACGGCAAAGTACATACGTGCTAGATAACTTTAATCTGTTTGTTGTCAAAGGCTTAATATAGTAGAATGGATGAAAAATCAATTATGAAGTAATACCAGACTAATGTGACTATTGTTATGAAATGAGAATAGATGTAGCATGGAATTCTGAGTTCTATAAGAATTTCACTTTTCTGTCGGAAGATAAAAAAATCTGATTGAAGCGAGAACAAAAAACAGAAAAATTTAACTCACTGTGAACATGGCGGTCTAAAAAAAAATAATCACATTTTCCTATATACTAACATGCGTAAAATGAAACTGAATGATTTCCTTCCAAATTCTATGCAAATCTCAGAGGCAGGTGAGTGAACGAGCATCAAGAACTGCAGAAACAGATGGTTTCATTGAAGAATAAAAATATATATATTATCCATTGTTTTGCTGCAGTTGTAAGTAAAGCAGCTTAAATCAAGTTTATAACATGTAAGATGAACCTTTTCATTTATCAGGATTCTGTATGTGAAAGACTTTTCTTTTTAATATTTTTTGCTATTAAATTCCTGGGGGAGAGTTATCGAGGCAAAACAGGTGCTATTATGAGTGCAAGGTGCTACATGTTGCATAACATTCTGTTGGTTTCCACGGTGACACTACTAATATTTCTCTTGCCCCAGTGTAACACCTGTTTTTTGCCTTAATCTCTCCCTATGTTCTGTAGAGTAACATGGCAGTTGGACATTTTAGGCTAAGCAGGTGCTATTCTGTGACGAAGTGCTATATTAGGAGCAATCCCCATAGAAACAAAAAATGTCTATTCAAATCTGTACTTAGCATCCAGAATATCACCTGTTTGACTTGATAAATATCCTTCATCTCACAGAGTGAAAGCTCTTGTACTGGTAACAGTTTAATGTGTTGGTTCATGATAGTGCAATTTTTTCCACTGTTAAAAAAAGCTTATTTCAGTTTTTTTTTTTTTAAGGGAAATAGAAACAGAAATACAAAATTAACCCATAATAAAATGTAAACTATAGAACTATACACAAGGTTTGGGTGTTCATAGGCACAAAAGGTTCCACTCAATGTTGTTTATCGTACACTGGTGTCAAGGTATTCTCATTTTTTACAGTCTACTACCATAGCTGCTATTTAAAACTATTAATTATATACAATATGTTCAGAAGAAGTGTCTGGGGAAAAAACATTTTTGTATTCCAAATTATTTTCCATTTCCATTTTTTTCACTATATGGCAGTAAATATATTTTTTTCCCGTCCAAATTTTGAACCAGATGACAGTAAATATAGCTTTGTTCATAATGTCGCTGAAATTGTTTTTACAGAACATACTCTTGAATTGTCCTTCTGCTCCTTCATGAACACAGATGAAAGTTTCCGCTTTGAAACATTGTACTTAAACTGCAACGTCTTCCAAACTTTGTAGAAGCCTTGATCCACAGAAGAAGACAAAAAGTAGAAGATGAGAGGATCTATAAATGCGTTGCATGTGCTGGGAAGGAGAGCTAATCTTCTCCATTCAACACTCTCATTTTTTACAAATCCTACCACGTGTGAAATATTGTATGGGGCAAAACACACAATGAAGACTGTCCAGGTGGTTACTGCAACACGGACTGCTTTCTTCTTGTGTTTGGCATGCATGCAAGACCTCATGAGAATTCGTATACAAGATGCATAACAGAATGTTGTAATACTCAATGGCAAGAAAAACAAAACAATAGACATCTCCAATCTTACAGGAATGATCACAGACAACTGTTTCTCCGTGAAATTATCGTAGCAGAGCTTCTTGCCTTCGTCATTCATGAGAAAAAATTCCAGACTTCCATTTTGTGTGGTTTCTATTAAAAACACGAAGACAACATGACCAATGACAATTGCCCATAAGCATAAACAGATAAGGCAAGAGTATCGAGGCTTCTTGTAAATCTTGTACTTGATAGGGAAAGCAGTACTCAAGTAGCGGCCAACACTTACAGCACTCAGGAAGCAAACACTGGCATAGATGGTGGTAAAGTGGAAGAAATTGAAAAGTGGACATAGAATGGCAGGAAGTGTCCAGCCAGATTGAAAAGTCTCTTTTATTTTCATGGGCAAAACCATCAAAAACATCAAGTCAGAGATACATAGGTTTATCATGTAGATAAGGTTGGGAGTCAATCTTCTTCGAGCCTTCTTGAAGAAAATATAAAGTATGAAAATATTGGCAGGCAAACCTAAAATCATCGTTATTACATAGATTGACAATGACAATATACACTGAGACATTTTACAAGCACCCAGTGGTTCTCAGGAAACTGGAATCGGAATACATTTTTTCTTCGTTGGTATGACTATTGACCATGTATAAAAATCCTTAAAAAGGAAGCAGTCAGAAGTCTCTTAACAAGGCATCTCCATATCACAGTCGATGATATTTCTCCAAGGCTCCGTTCTTGATTAACCTAAAAGAGCGATCCCATAACGTAGTGAGCCCAGCAAGGAATGAAACATGTTATGTATTTTGCAGATAGCTATAAGCCGAACATTGAATACATGGAGCAGAGATAATAGATCTTCTATTTTCATGTACTAAATGGATGTGAAATGGCCCAGAAAGATTGCTGATCTACACTAATGATTTCTTCAATAGGCCTAGTGAACAACATACGTGTTAACTGGTCCATAAAGCAATAAATTTATAACCGAGTCCATAATGTGGATGTAACCATTCTACAGCAACAGAGTGTACACAACAGCGAAAACAAACATTTTATACACCTTTCAGGCAAAAGGTTAAGTATGAAATTTTATTCTGCCACTGATTTCAGAAGATAGGGATTTGCTCTATCGCATGAAAAACAAGTTATTCAATAAAGCAATGGAGAGAGCATTAAATAGTACAGGATATCACTAGCATTCTAACCATAGATACAGGTGATGTAATGAACCATAGATACAGTTGAAGTGGCAAAATCTGTGTCAAGCACTCAGACAAGGAAATCTGTCTCCAGTAACAGCAAACGAAGAGACAATATGAATTAAGTATGCATTATTAACAATATGGGCTTATCATTATCTCAGTAATGTCCGCCCGCACCTCCCACATCTCACCCTTCTGTCAGTCCCTACATTGGCTTCCTGTAAGATATAGGGCTCAATTTAAAATTCTGGTTCTTGCTTTCAAATCTCTACATAATGCTGGTCCCACCTATCTATCCTACCTAATCAGGGCCGCCATCAGGGCATGACAACCGCAACGGTTGTCATGGGCCCGGCGGTCCTGGAGGGCCCGGACTGCTAAGGTCGTCCGGGCCCCACATTCAGTGGGTACATACCGGGTCGCAGGGGGCCCTGCGACCCCGGTATGTACCCACAGGGCCAGCCTCTTCTCCTGGGGGGCCCAGCAGCCGGTCACCTCAGGGCCCCCCAGAGGCTGGCCCTGCTGACACCCGGCGGGCGGGCGGGCCGGCGCGCGAGGGGGCACTCTGTGTGCTTCCTCTTCAGCTCCCTCGCGCACCGCACTGATGCCGGAGCCAGAAGATGACATCATCTTCCGGCTCCGGCATCAGTACGCGGCGCGAGGGAGCTGAAGAGGAAGCACACAGAGAGTGCTTTCCCTCGCCCAGCGCCAACCCGCCAGTGTCGAGGCGGAAAAATAAAATAGGAAGGGGTGGAGAATAAAATGGGAGGGAGGGAGAGAATAAAAATGGGAGGAGGAGGGGAGGAGAAGAATGAAATATGAGGGGAGAGGAATATGAAATATGAGGGAAAAGAATGAGAATTTGTGAGGGGAGGGACAGGAAGAGGGAATTTGAGGGAGGGAAAGGAAGGGAATTTGAGGGGCCGGGGAGAGGAAGGAAATTGGAGAGAGGGAGAAGGAAATGAGAGGGAGGGGGAGAAGAAGGAAATTGGAGGGGGGGGGAAGAAGGAAATTGGAGGGAGGGAGAAGGAAATTGACGGGGGGGAGGGGAGAAGAAGGAAATTGGAGGGAGAGGGGGGGAGAAGGAAATTGACAGGGGGGAGGGGGAGAGATTGACATCCATCACACACAATGCACCCCTTGCACACAGAAAAACACACAATGCATTACACACAGACACACGTACACAAGCAATGCATCCCTTACACAGAGCAACACACAATGCACCCCTTACACACACTCAATACATCCCTTACAGACGCACACACTGCATCCCATACATACACAAACTCATCTTGCAGCCCTTACACATACAAACACAGATTCACACAATGCATTCCTTACACACATCAGGACATCCCCCACACACACACTCCACCCCCTGGGACCCTGGGACCCAGACCTTGAGCTGTGTAAAGGGCCCTCAAAAAAATGGAGCTGCTTCCCGTTCTCCCAGAACAGTGATTTTTGTGACCACAGTTACAAACCGCCTCCAGAGAGCCTGTTGTACACCAGACCAGTGGAGCCAGATGGCAGCTAGAGCCCATCATCATCCTCATCTGGTTGTAAGTAGGCAATCTAGTATATTATTCGTGGCACTTATCTCTAATTTACCTCACATTAAAGGGACACTATAGTCCCCAGAACCACTGCAGCTTAATGTAGTGGTTCTGGTGTCTAGCCTGTCCCTGCAGGCCTTTTAATGTAAACACGGCGGCACTGCAGCACTGGTGTTAGTTAACATGGCAGATCATATGGGTGGGGCATTGTGATGTCACATGGGGGGGCAGCAAACTTTACTTTTGCCTAGGGCGGCAAAAATCCTTGCACCGGCCCTGCAGACACTGCATCCCTGTGGGCGGATTCGGAGGGGGGCAGCACTTTGGGCGAACTCGGGTGCAGGCACCGGGGGGCCCAGACCTTGAGCTGTGTCAGGGGCCCCAACATTTCTGATGGCAGCCCTGTACCTAATACACAAGTATGTCCCATCTAGGCCCTTATGATCTGCTGAAGACTTACGTCTATCTTCTGTCCGTACTCCCACCTCTGATGCTCGCCTTCAAGACTTCTCCAGGGCTGCACCATTCCTGTGGAACTCACTTCCCTCCTCCGTTAGATGCTCACCCAGTCTCCACTCCTTCAAAAATCATTAAAAATCCACTTCTTCATAAAAGCGTACCAATTAAACTGTTAATAGCTCCCCACTGATTCCTCTCTTGCAACTATCCTTACCTTTTGTGTCACTATACCCCACTCCCTCTAGCATGTAAGCTCATTGAGCAGGGCCCTCAACCCCTCTGTTCCTGTGTGTCCAACTTGTCTGGTTACAGCTACATGTGCGTTCGTCCACCCACTGTAAAGTGCTGTGGAATTTGATGGCACTATATAAATAATAATAATAATAATAGTATTTATGATATATTAATACTTGGAATCATAGAGAAATGACAAGGGAACTGGAAACCCTGGGATTATTTTGGTCTAAAATTTCAATTATTGTAACAGCTTTCAGTTTAGAGAAAACCACAATTCTCTGGATAACCTGGAATGGCAGGCAGAAGCCCCTTACCTACAATATGACAATCTGGGGGTGAATGAGTAATGTGAGGCTCATGGAGCAGCTTTGCAGGTTAGAATAATAACAAAGATGGTGACATTTAAAGGTGAATTTTGAGAATATATAAGAAATACAATCTAAAAAGAATAAAAAAATAAAACATAATAGTGCAATATTTATAGCACCACATTTAGCACTGGTGGCACCATTGCACTCACAAGAATGTATTTGATTGCAAGCGTATAAAATGTCTCAAAGATGAAAATAACTTTCTTCTCTTCTCTTTTATCCATCTGTGTTCCCACAGCATCCCATGGTTAGGAGGAGGAGGTGGTGATGGTGGTAGTCAGTTCTTATTCTATAAATGAAAAGATTCCTTTTGGAGTGTTTGGGAAATCCAAAGGGTGTGGTGAGCACCTACTCGCAAACAACAAGGGGACTAATGTGGGAGTAAAAGAAGAAGGGCAATGGGAGCAATGCATGCAAAACACAGACTAAAAATCATTTTCTTCTTATTTTTTTAAATCTTTTTAGATTGTATTTCTTATATATTTATCAAGAAGACTAGAGGGGTCTTCCTACAACATAAGCGATTCTTAAGGGTCATTTTTCTTTCAATTTGACAATTTTTATTGTTTTACATTTTTTACTTTAAAACTTGGGGTGCAGAAAAGTTTTGGGGTACAGAAAAGAAAGGGGTTTGGGGAAAAGGAAGAGTCAAAATATTCCATGTCATTCAGGTTACATTACATGTATCATACATCATACACTTGGTTCTGCGTTAGTCTCTGGGCGCTAGGGTGCAGAGCGGCCGGCCTAGCGCGTGCTATGTTGTTAGGATTTTGCCCTTTCCCATAAAGGTTCTTGTGGTCTTTAGGAATTCCACCTGTGTTATTGTTACTGTGTGCTATGTGTCGTTTGCTTCTGAGTTTTCCATCTCCTAACTCTTTTTTGGTCGTCCTTTGTCTATTCTCACTGTTTACCCACTCAGGGTCATCGACCCGCCGTTTGATCGCTTTGCCCCTTACCCTTGTACTCTTCCCAACTCTCACTAGCTGGGCCTACGTGTTTCCTTGGTCCAATGTGTTTATTTGCCATCTTTTCATATTGCCAATTAAGGGATATTTGTTGTATTAGGGCTTCCTTGGATGGAGTTTGTGGTGATTTCCACGATCTAGCTATGAGGGTTACTGCTGAGATTAACAGGTGAAACAGCAGGGACTCCTCTATTCTTGTCACTGCGTGGTATCATAAATAGTATGCATTTTTTTATGGAAAGTTGCCCCTGTCTACCCAGTAGGTCACTCGCTATTTCCTCTACTATTTCCCAGTATTTCCTAATCTCTG